CTTTGATTTTGTGCATTTTAGCTACTCTTCTGCTCATTCCTTCTTCTTTTTTTGGCTACTTTTCATTTTTTTCTGCAGAAGATGCCAATTCTAGTTACATTTGTTTTAACATAGTTAATAATATTTCCTGCTCACTTGATAGCATCTCCCACTCCTAGACTGATATTTGCTCCATATCTCAGCTGTATCTCTGTTAGTGTCGATCTTTCTGCGTCACAGGAAGACAAGGCATTGTGTGCACTTGCAACAYAAATGAATAAATTGCTCATAAAGTGCATGAGGGCACAGCCCAGAGAGGATCCTTGATGGAGAGCTCGTCTGCCCGGCAGGCCTGGTCCTGTGGGAGCTGCAGGCAGCCAGCAGGTGGATTAAAAAACCCGCTGTGGCCTGCAGATGGTGCACGGGTCTGGGACAGGAGGAGGGAGGAAAAGCAGAGAGATGGACAAAGAACTCTCTACACCACCCCCGGCCACACACACACATATAAACACACACACACTCACACACACTCATTTGTCTATCATCAACACTCATGACTCCACCGCTACTGAAGAATCCCCAGTTGTGAGGAAAGGGGGGTTGATGAGGGGGGAGTCATCTGGATACAGCTGGGTTACACCATCCATCCTCAGGGAGAGGCAGAATTTGCTGTTAATGGAGAGTGAAAATACCCCGTGACCTCAGATTTAGTCTTTCCTCGTGTGGTAATTTGTGTTTCCTTTAACCTTTTGACTTCTTTTCCCTCTGTGCTGCTGACTGTTTCAGGCGTCGATTCTCACTTCTGCTTACTGATGGCTGTCAGAGCTCAGGCCGCAAATACAGACGAAGGGCCTGTTGGCGTTTGTTTGATGCTGTTAACWCTAAATCTCTAGGAGTGCAGAAAATTTGAATGTAGTTTCTCCTGGTTAGATATGTTTATGTTCTGTTTGGGTCTTTTTTCAATCTGTTCAGTGGGTCAGACTCTGGCTCTAACATTTAAGGCTGGATGGACACGCCTTGACATCTTTTAATTAATTAGTTGTTAAAAAGTTTCTGTGTCGCTATACAGTAACCCCCCCATCCTGGAAATTTAATGGGGGCGGGGTGTGAAGTGCCTCGTTTGGATTTAAAGGGGCAATATCATGTAAAATCAACTTTTTTGAGTTTTATATCATGTTATAATGTTATACTCTCATAAAAAACATGCCCAAAGCCTTGCTTTGACTTATTCATGCATGTTTGAGAAATCCTGCAGCRTTTTTAGGAAGCCATGCTGAGGAGCAAAATGACAGGTGGGGACCAGAAACGCCCCTGGGACATGTCTTTAAGCCGAACTTCCTCATGGCGGAGCACCCCACCCGCCCTCTCCACGCACCCTGCCCGTGACTCCTGCAGGCTCTGTGAAAAACCAAAAGTGAAACTTAAACTGTCTTCTGATCTCCAAACATCAGTTTTCACTCAGTGAAGCTCTTTTCAGATTAAAAAAAATATTTGAGGAAATGTATTTTCAGATGCCAAGTAAACTGCATCATGGCAGCCCCACCCCCTCCACCCCCGCAAGCACGAACCCCTCCACACTGAAATGAGCAAAACAGAAGCGGAAGGTGTTTMTTAAAGAGACAGAGGCCAATTTCAAGGCGTTTGGAAGAGGAAGTGATGAGAAGATAAGTTTATTTTCTATTTAAACATAAAAACAGCATTTTAATAACAGCCKAAGGTGACGTAGATACTTTATTATGGTTTAGTATTTTAATGTATGCCCGAGAAACACATAATATTGGCCCTTTAAAGAGACAGCATCAAAATGAATTGATCAGAGACACCCCTCAGAAAGAAGGTGAAAGAGGGGCTTGTGGAGTTACAATAAGGAGGAGTTCAGACCAAAGCATTGTAGTTCCACTTTATCTAGACCCCAACTGAATAATTTGATCCTCTCATGGTTCACAAGATATTTTGATAACAGACAGTCAACTCCAAAAGTTGGTCAGCTGTAGTTAGTCAGCTGATGATTACTTTCTAAACGTTTCATTAAAATCAGTGATTCATGAGATATTTTGCTAACAGTGCTGCGACACCAACACAGACACAGAAAAAAMCCCCATTATTGCTCTACTTTTATATTTGGGTAATAAAAATACATTTTTCCTTTGAGTCAGCAAGTAGGTTAAAGGTGTCCTCGTATAAATTCTTAATGGAGTGATCGAACTGCACGTTTTCTGATCCATCAACAGGAACCACTCTCCCCTCAACAACATGTCCATGTTTGCTTTCAGTCAAGCCTGTGCAGCCTAATTGTTTAATAAAAAGTGGTAGTGACACGTAATTGCTTGCATTAAGGTGATGGAGGTGAAACTATCTTTGCTTTTCCAGTAGAAAGGAAAGGATGGAGCACTTCAATGAGGTACGACATAATAATTGAAAGCTCTGTGTTTATCTTAGGCTGTGCAGCTCCTCAGAGAGGCCTCTAATTATCTTGTCAACCAAGGATAATTCAGAAAACAAGATTCTTCACACACACACACACACACACACACACACACACACACACACACACACACATTTCCAGCCACTGATTCAATCAGCGTCAGATTACAAGTAAGGTGTAACGTCTCTTCATTGGTTTCCATCTACAGGACGCCAGTTTTCAGTTTTGGTCAATCCTGCAGGGTTTGTTAAACACATAGCATCAAATAGATTTTTTGTACTCACATTTGTGTTCAAGGAAATATCTTGGCTAAGAGACTTGGCAACCTTGAGGAATGACATGCTGCAAATGATTAGAAAAAATCTGGGTGACTGATTGTGGGATTTAATATTTAAAGTGGTGAGCTTCCTGTTGATAGTAATATTCATCAAGTTACTAATCAAGCCAAACCTCCAGGCTTTTTACTGTCTGTCTTAAACAACCCTGTTATGTTTGTGTTAGCCTTAAAGACGTGATTGGTATAGACACTGCTTGTCCTGATGAGTCTGAGCAGGGCTTTTGGTTTGTACACTTTCTTTTATGCTTTTAAAATGGTGGGTGTGTACGCTTATCGCACACAAGCATGTTATTGGTATTGATCCTCCACCTGCACAAAAAAGATTATAGAGATATCAGCAGCAGATTATCTCTGTGCTTTCACCCTAATGCAAGCCAAAGGTACAACAGCTTGTAAATGTTGCATGAGATCAGCTAACCTTAGAATGAAGGTCTAGCGAACATTTATTCTGCATTTCACTAGTTCTATTTTTATCTATTTGGAGTTTGACTTGGGCCAAACAGGTTAGTTGAGAGTGATGTTTTGTGCAAACTCATTGCAACATTGTGAGAGCTAGACCAATCTGTTAGCACTCATATGTGTTGTCGATGACTATCATCTGCTACTGCATTCAATTTGAGTTTAATATTGGTAGAACCGACTTGGTTATAGCCATTTTTGTGTTTTCTGATGTTAATAAACTGTGGCAGTCACGTTAAATTGGGTGGGTAAAAATCTGCCAGTTAGATGCACATTTAAGAGAGTTTTGTTAACTGGTTTATGAGATATTTTTGCCAACATAGACTCCAATCACACAGCTCACACACAGCAGCAAAAACACTTATGCCCAGTTTTTATTGGTGTCCAGATACCAGCATTTTTATAAATGCGTATTTGTACAAAATGCCCCGATACCCAGAACCAATACCAGAATTGATACTGGGATAGTAGCACTGATCCTCCAATAAATGTATTTCAGTTTACATTTTGAGTGAAAGTTTAGTCAGATCCATGTTTAGGACATTTGTACAAGTTGAAAGAATATCTTATTTATAATTTTTATTATTATTATTTTATTATTTATAATTTTTTTGATTTTAAACACTACAACAGTATATATGCTGTAGATTTCATGTGATCCAGTCAGAGGGGCTGTAGGCCTATAAGGAAGCAAAGCCACCATGTCCTAAATAAAATGAATATATTTTTAATGTCATTGTGTAATGTTTAGGTTCTAGAGTACTTGGTGAGTACCCAAACTGAAGTACTCGTACTTAGTTTGAATAAAACTAGTGTTGGTACATCCTTACTGGTTTTTAATTTTGGGCGATAATAGTTTAAAAAATAAAAAATAAATATAACAAATACAAAGTCCTTGTAAATATGATGCTTTAGGTTCAAGTGTCAAACTATGTTCTCCTTCTTCCATTCACATAGACTTGATGGTGATTAAGTTGCTCCATTTGCACCATTAGACAGGCACCTTTGCAAAGAAAATCAATATTATTCCTCATGTCAGTAACAAACTTGTGGTGGGTCCAATGGTAGGCCATCATCTCATAAACCAAACCACAACTGGGCCAGCTGTGGCATGCCATCTTAAAAACAGTGCCATCATTGCCAGACTTGGCTCATATCCAGTAGACCAGTGTTTCCCAACACTCAAGGCTAAAACATGCAGGGTAGTGTGCCTTGAGGACCAGGAGTTACGTGGATATACCATCTAGCTGCAGGTAAATGCTCCCTACTGGTGTAAAAAAGCAGAACACACACATAGGAAGCAATCACAAATGTGGACCGGCTGAACTGTACAATAAAAGCTGTTTTGTTTATCTTTGAGTAAAGTCTCTCTACTTTGTCAGGACTGAATTGTTTAAGCAGAGAGCTTCAAACGGACACTAAAAGCACACWCCACAATTACATGACAGTTGGCAGCCTGTAAAAATCACTTGGCCGTACAAATCCACCCATCTTTAAAAAAAAAAAAAAAAAGCAACAAGATATAGTGTTTGCAAGTAATTGTTAAGCAAAAGAAAAAGAATGTGGGAAGAGCTCAAACACCACTCCAAGGTTATGGTTAATGGTTAAGAAATTGCCAGAAGCACTCAGACATTGGGAGCTTTGATCCTCCAGTGTAATTTTAGACTATTGTTCGACGGAAGAGACGTTACCCACGTCTCTGACAGTATTGATCGTGATCTCTCATGCCTGAATCAGTCACAGTGGATCAGGTTTTACTGGCACGTAACATTTTCGTGTTTCTGTTTCGCACCCCTGCAGATCTATCAAAGAATCATTTGACAGAAATCCCCCCAGAACTGTGTCTGTTCGCCCCCCTGGAGTCTCTCAACCTCTACCACAACTGCATCAAATGCATCCCAGAAGCCATCATCAATCTACAGATGCTGACCTATCTTGACATCAGGTGAGCCATCGCTACCAGTATAGTTAAAGTTATGCTGCTAGGTTTCATTTTATATTGTACATTCAGTCTTTTTTTTTGCGTTTACATTGTTATGTCTCTGTGGAAGTTCTTGTTCCACTTTTTGCTGCACAAACAACCCAAACAAGCTCACATGAAAGGGAGAAGCTTCCTCTTTTGCTGAAACTCAATTCCCAGTTGCCTCTTTATGCAGTTTTTAAATGTAGGTCACTGTTTTATCTTCCCCCCTTACAGCCGAAATCTTCTGACAGTTTTGCCAAAATACCTGTTCAGCCTCCCCCTCAAAGTCCTGCTCGTGAGCAACAACAAGCTCGTCTCCGTTCCCGATGAGATTGGAAAGGCCAAAGAGCTGATGGAGCTGGTGAGCAGCGCGCAAGCATCGGTGCACGTGACTTTCTGTGTGCACTTTATKTTTGCAGCCGGAGTAACCTCGTCTCTTCTTTACCCACCGCTGCCAGGATGTGAGCTGCAACGAGATCCAGGTCCTGCCAGCTCAGGTGGGGAGGCTCCAAGCCTTACGGGAGCTTAACGTCAGGAAGAACTGTCTTCACATGTTGCCTGAGGGTCAGTTCAGGCCTCATGATTCTCCTTCTCTTTTTTTCATTTTTTATTTTTAGTTTGGATTGCTCTTTGACAGCTTCCCCATCAGGGGTTTCATCTGACAGTTTTGGCAAAGATGCTCATCCTCTCATAGTCAGAAAAAGACAGAACTGGAGCAGYTTGTTTTACGTTCTCAGTTATGTTTTATTCACAAGCATTGCGTGATGTTTAAACATTAGCTACACTTCAAGTTTATTTTTAAAAGCCTGACAGAAGTCAGATAAATCTGMTAAGTATATTTTATTGGGCAAAGCTAAAACCACATGCAGATGCATTTTCTCATTCTGTGCATACAACAGAAGACTAAATAAAACAATCTGATTAAATTCAATTCAGTTCTTTGATATAGCCTCAATTCACAATAAAAATTTTCTCATGGAAATTTACAACAAAAATAAGTACATTCAAGTAAGATTAAGATCCAATTACAGTCAATTTAAATTCAATTAAAAACACGTACAATAGTTTGCCTTCAGACCCAGGCCTGAGATCTCAACGGGTCTTGCCTGGTTAAATAACTGTAAAAGACAAACAAACAAAAAAACTGTACAATCACACACAACACATCATGCAATGCGAATGAGTAAGGMTAACTAAGGAAATTATATATACAGTATATTAGGAACTCATTGGCGCCCCACTAAATGTAATTGTGAAACCTTACAGTTGAACGCATGGAAAAGTCAGATTTTTATTTGGTGCCTGACAAAATTAAGCAAAAATAATGGTGTTGCTCCAGAAAATGTTTTTAACTTTCAAAGTTTGTTCAGCTGCATAAATAATCCATTTTAATGTATCATTTTGTCTCATAATTTTCTAGAAATAAGACCTGCTTGTCATAAATTATTGGGTTACTTCAATTAGAAAAGATCTTTACTTTAACAAAAGCTAATTTTCACTGTAAAATGTTTGAAATTTTGGCTATTTCTGCATGAATTTGGCCTAAAACCTTGTCAGGGTTTGTTCACATGTTTCAGAGGTAGATAATAAAAACTTTATCAAAAATTTAGGACATATCAGCTGCACCTTCATCTTCTTAAATTTGTTTAACCTATGTCATTTGCTTAATTTGAAGCACTAYGTTACATTGTGCTGTTTAATGCATAGTTTTTTTCCTCCTCATCCTTTATAGAGCTGGCTGATCTGCCCCTCATTCGACTTGACTTCTCCTGCAATAAGATCACAGAGATTCCTCCTGCTTTTAGGAAACTCAGGCAACTTCAGACCATCGTCTTAGATAACAACCCTATGCAGTCTCCACCTGCACAGGTTTGTACATTCAGTAGTTTTGTGAGTCTTCCTCATGTCCTTATATCAAATGTGAATATAACATGGTCACGTTCAAATGAAACCTGAAACAACGGCACCACCTAGTGGATGTTAGGGCACATTTCTTTCAGCAGCCAGAACACATCTGAGAAGCCTCGTGTGTTTTTGTGTCACAGATTTGCTTGAAGGGCAAAGTGCACATATTCAAATACTTGAACATCCAAGCTTGTAGAGTGGACAAGAAACCAGACACGCTGGATCTGCCCACCCTCAGCAAACGCTGCCTTCCACAGCCTCTCACCGATAGGTAATGACAGATCGTTTCCATCCCCGTGAGGCGATGCGTGCTTCACTCACTCATCACTTCTGCACAGTCTAAGTCCTTGTTTTTATTTGGGTTATGAATTCCTTTTGTTCCTGCATATTTTCCAGCAYGGAAGATTTCTATCCAAGCAAGAACCATGGGCCTGACTCTGGAATTGGTAGTGACAATGGAGACAAGAGGCTGTCAACAACAGAGGTCAGAGTTCAAAGGCAGCACTAACAAATGACCACGAGTCAAACACATTTATGACTGTAAATCTTGTTTTTATTTTCTTAGATAGACGTTTAGGCAATGTTCAGTTGCAACAGCTGCAAAGACTATAGCTTTTCATTTCTGTATTCATGTATTTGGAAGAAACTTCCAGCAAAACTAAAACTAAGATGGGTGGCCAGAAAGACACACAGACAAACAAGTAGTTTGCTCTGTAAACCTGCCAAGAGAACGAAGAAAATGCAAAAATGTTGGTGACAATAATTTTTTTTTACTCTCATTGGGCCTCATGCAAGAACCGTTCGTACGCACAGATTTGTTTTTAAATTGTGCGTACGAGTGATTTAGGAGAATTTGTGGCATTCACCAATGT